GACGCTACTAGGGGCTCCTGGCCGTACTACTAGGAGCAAGGACGCTATCTAGGGGCTCCTGGCCGTACTACTAGTCCTGGCCGTACTACTAGGAGCAAGGACGCTACTAGAGGCTCCTTTCCATGTCACGACCCGCAGACGCATTGAGCGCAGTCTGTTTTGGAGGCAAGGATCGATGCTCTGAAGGAGAAGAAGCACCAGCAAGTTCAACCCTAAAAAATCATGGTAACATAGAACAGAGCAAGCGTGCAAACCCTTTAAACGTGTTTCTTTCGCATTTCAAAAAGGTTTCTAGGATTTCCCACTCAAAACCAAGGTGGTGTCCGGCCAGTCAGCTCAGGCCAGCTGTGTCGGGAAGCCTCACACATTGCATCCACTTAGCTCCTCCCAATAACAGCAAAAAGCAACCACTAATTTTGGTTTATATAATTCTAGTTCAATTCAAATAGCTTCTTGTTACTACTAGTAAGGCACTTGTTACTAGAAGCGATGCACTTGTTCCTATAGCTTATTGTTCTAATTTAACGGACGAGTTCCGGACGTCATAAAGCTGTCCATTACGGACTGTCGCTTTGGCTTTCAGTGCCCGAGTTCTGTGCCCATGGACAGTTCTGGAGGAGCGCTGCTTGGAGAACTTTGCCTCCTGCACAGCAGAATCCTTGATGAAGAAATGCACTTTACCAAACGGCAGAATCAACATGTTAAAACTTTGCGCAAAGAACTTCTACTCATTCGTTTGATTTCGTTTGCAGGTCCGTTCTGTTTTATTTGGAGCTGTAGCGGCTGATTTTGGAGTGGACTCAGGCTGGATTGATGGCGCTTCAAGTCCAGCAGTGGATGGATTTACTACATATCTTCAACAGGCACTTGGACCAACAAGCTTGACAACCTTTGCATATATGTTTAGCGTCTTGGCATATTGGTGAAGAAGAGGTTATTCATCGCCTTGGGCAGCATCGCCTTGGGACTTCTCTTGCTGCTTCTGCCAGCAGAGGGCCAGGCGGAACTCGAACTCCGATTTGCAGAACAAAGGATGTGAACTTTGACAGTTCGTCAGAGGTAAAGTGAAACGTGCTCAAAAGAGAAAGTGAGCAAAGTGAAACTACATGACGGCGCGTGGCCTTTGTAAAGGAAGGAGAAGGAAGCTGCCGAAGCTAAATCTTTTTAATACACAAGAAAGAAAAGGAAAAGAAGCCAGAAAAAGGTTTGAAATTCTCAAAAAGTGTTTTCTAATACTGCAAAAACACCAAGAATTATTATGATGAGTGCTCAGGCCGTGGCTTTCGCTGCATTTTCTTTGCTCGCCCTACCCGTCCTGGTGAGTGAAGCCTTTAAGGAGAAGATTGAGAGACCTAGAGAATGAGAGACATTAGACATGTTGTCGAACAGTGTGGGCGCACTGAGGGGTTCTATATATGGTAGTGGAAAAGGAGGTGTGCTTAGATCGCTGTTCCGCGCGGGCGTGTCCGGCCAATTCGCTGCTATTTACAGTACATTCATGCCTCTCGACATCGTCAATGTGCATTTCGATTGCGCAGGCTCGCAAAATCTGCCTGCCAGCAGCGGGTGCTTCTAACGACTGCGCTATCGTTGTGGCGCCGTGCGCATTTTGGCACATGGCGATCACTTTTCGTGGCAGGCGCAAGGGAAACCTCGTGTTTTGGCGCTCCAAAGTCGACTTTTCGTGACAGGTGGTGATCGTCGAGGAGCTCAGATTTCGTGACAGGCGCAGTGAATCGTAACTTTTGGACAGATTTCGTGGCAGGCACAGCGCTCTGTGCCCCTTGATGTGCAGATTCCTAGACATCCAAATGTACAACTAAAACTGGTACATGGCACATTTGGACACTATGTGCGTGAAAAGCCATATGTGCGTGAAAGTGCGTGAAAATGTCAAGAAACAGATTTTGCACATGTCCTTGGACATCCTATAGGATATGTTTGAAACTTCCGCTGCGTAAAAAGGGTTTATATATATATATACATGAAACAAGGTTGCATCTACAGGACCAAAGGGAGAATTGTCCACAGAACCAATACAGTGAATACAGTAGTGGCAAGAAGCTACAAGTGTTTAAGCATGTTTAAGCATTACTACTAGTAGCAAGACAATTGGGTGCAGTTAACTGAGCGGTTTGCTTTCGCAGCGCCTTCGCCCTCATTGATCAAGTGATTTTCTGTATGTATACATTGTATACTCAAATTCAAGTCTAGCACAATCCCAGATTTCCCTACATATGTTGTCTCAATTTTTTCTTACCTGATGAGATTGCGAAACAAGTATGTGTGCACATATTCATATACTTTTTCTAGTTGCGTCGGGCGACGGTGCGACGGGGGGCTGCGCATGTGGAGCGGTCAGGAGGCCAGGAACTGTGAGGGAAGGGGGCTGGGAACCTAGAGATGGACATGGTGTGGCTGTCCTGGTTGAAAGGTTGAAAGGGATGGGATGTTCATAGGGAGTGCTATACCACCTTCAGCTCAACCCATGCTTTTCCAAAACCAGATAAAACCAGTGGTTTTGGAGGAGATGCGCCCCGTGCCTTGATGGTTTCAAGCTGCATTTTGGCTCGAACTTTCGAAGGTTTGGGCGTGGATCCAATGTCACTATACAAGATGTGGCCATCTCGATACGCCCCATGGTCTTGGATGAGAAAGGATTGAACTTTTCCTGGTTTTCTGGGTAAGTGTTTTGTTTTCTGATTCAACTTGGGATGTCTTCTTTGCCCCCATGTTCCGTGCACCTGAGGCAGGATTTCCACCACCCCAGCCGAAAGCTGCATCTGGAAGCAGCGGTGCACCTTTTCTCTTACCCAGGGCGAAGCAGATGTCGAAGCCTGATGCCAAGGCGATGCTGGTGAACAAGTTTTGAGGGTGATTGAACATAGATTGGCTTAGATTGGGGTGTATAAAGTCCATGAACCCCTGGTATACCCTGGAGGGATCGGATGAGGACACGTCAGAAGTCCCTTCGGACGCTGAGAACGCGCTTGCTCTACGTTCAGGAGCAGCCCCAGGTAATGCGAGTGCACCTGCGGTGTCGGAGCCTTCCCGACCTTCCATTCTCCCGGCTGCCTCTAAGGGCCAAAAGCGACCTGCTGTGCCTTGAACTTTATGGTGCAAGGCTTTGTGCATTGTTTTTTTGGTACCCTCTTAACTCTTAAGTCTCTTGAAGTAGATTTGCACTTACCCAATATTGAGGATCAGATGGATCCTGAGCTGTATGCGAACGTGCAGCGCACGAAGAGGCTCTTTGGAAAGGTAGCCCGGGAATTGGAGCCTGGGAGTTGTTTATTTGAAGGTTTTGAATTGTTTTTGTGATGTTTAGATGGTTGAAAAATATATACATATATATGTATATATGGATATTTATTTATGATATATGCTTCTGATATACTTCTTTTGGCTTGCCTTCAATGGCTGTGAGGATGAGCAGCTCAACGATATGCATCTCAAGGTCAAGTCGCTGTTCAAGCTTGTTCAGGATCTGCCATAGAGCTTAGAGGCATATGAAGCAGCAAAAAGGTGTTCAGGGATTGCGGGGGCTCTCTTCATGGGGTATGGGACTGTTCCAACGTTGTTGTAGAGGTTTGGGAAGCTTGCCTGGGAATTGGAGCCTGGAAGGCTGCTCTGGGCCAATATATGATGAGGCCTTTGGGCCTGGTTCCAACATTGAGAGGGTGCCACCTTGGGACTCTGTTCAACATGCCCTCAACTCAAGCCACAAGGGGCTTTGAACATTATGAACCTTTGCCAACTTTGGGTCCATGGTGCATTAACAACCACTTCGATGCGGACCATCCACAAAAAAGAACATTAAATAACTTTCGAAGTTCGGAAATTCATTGTGGTGACTCGATCCTTTGGTCTCAATGAAGTCTCATGCCCGATTGGCAGGCTCATGGCATGGTGGGCCTTCTGCGTATACTCTTCGATTTGTGATGGTGTGGGGCCCTGGTTGTCATCCCTTCTGGCATCTCTAGCTAGAGCTCTCGCTTGATGGATCTATTGTAACAGTCGTATGGGTTTACTTGTAAAATGATGCACAGCGCAAAAGTTAACTCCTTTAAGGTCTAAAGTCTCATGTGTGATTGGCAGGCTGTGGGGGGCTTTCTGCCTGCACTCTTTGACTGCGATGGTGTGGGGCCCTGATTTGTCATTTGTTCTGGTGTCTCTAGCTAGAGTTCTAGCTTGATAGATTTCATAACAATCCTTCATTAATAAGAGGATGGACTGCAAAGATGCGCCAAACCATGTGGCATGAGATCCCAAACTATATGACTGAGATATCACACCACATATACCCCCGGCCATCTCCCATTCATCGGTGATTGCCTGTCAGGCCCTTTGGGCGCTGAAGCACGCTGGTACGACCCTGCCCGGCTGCGGGTGGTCGTGCTTGGGTGGGTAGGGTGGATGTAGAGCTTTGGGAGTCTCACGGTGCTGGCCGGTAAGAACACTTTACACATATATATATGTCTTCGAATTGCCACTGACCACATAGATAGATTCTGGTGATTTAGATCTGGCTTTTGAAACTCATACAACCCATTTGCATTGGTTCAAGATCATGAGCAGTGTGATGGATATATAGATGGAACCCAGCTCAAAGGCTGCCTAGGTATGAAACAATGGGAGGTGAACCCAATGACCATTTTTGGAAGACTTTGACCACAGTCATGATCACAAGGCCCTATAAAGAACAGATATGTTTAGAGTGTTTCAATCTGCACTGATCGTCAATTAAATTGCCAATTTTGGTCTCGCGCCATGCCGAAAAGTGGTGAGCGAGAAAAGATCGCTGAATATGCGAAGGCCTTTGGGACAAGGCCACATCTGCGGGATGTTCCTTAGCAATACTCTTGATTGTAATGGTTGATATTGTTTGTATGGGTGGGGTGAACTTTGAAAAGGTATTTTTTTGAGATGGTGGCATCTGCAGGTTGGGTTCTCGTTCCTATGCAATGCAACTGGGAACCTGTTCCTTAACAAAAGGATTTCATTGAAGGATGTGGACGCGAACACGGACTCTATCTATGCTGTTATGATTGTGAGCAGAGGGCAGGGGAGGTACTCAGCTCACCTTTTGAAGGAGGCCATCCTAATGCACTATGAGAATTGCAAACTCTACCCTGCTGGAGTTTCATCGGCAATGGAATGCATTCAAACATGGGCTCTGAAACAGGGGAAGGCACTTCAACGTTTGGTGGCTAGGCTTTTGATTTGGGGTGACCAGTTGTTCATGAATGACCAAATTGGGTGACCATTTTTGGGTCACTTGGGTGTATATTCTAGCTGGATTCCCATGAGTCCTGGATATAACCCTGCTTTGTCATCCCTCTCTCAGGTATCCAGATTCCGCAGATTGTACCAACTGGCTGCCTCTTCCAAGAAGAAGCACATTCGGGACCTCAAGGCAGAGCTTGAGGGGAAAGTGGATTCTTGTCTGAGTCGACCATATATGTCTTTTTATGCTCTATGATGTGTATGTATACTTGGCCATGCCAGGAGAATTGAGGGACACAAAAATGAAAGGTGCCATAAGAATCCTTGTGACACCTTTAAACCTTGCTTGGTGTTTGATTCCAAGGACTTTACTCCTGGCGCCCATCATCCAGATGATGAGGAGGGAGAATTTGAACATGAGGAGGACATTGGGGAAGATGCTGCGTCGTCCACTGTGGCTACCCTTTCTGAGCTGTGCCTTCCGGTACCTGGCATCAATTGAGTATAGTGGCTATACCTGTGTTTTACCTGCCAGATATCTGGACTCAGAATTGGGAGGAATATATTTTATAGGGGTCTTTCGTTGTTTGCCCCAGGCTGCGGTGAAAAGCACGGTGCCAAACCTTCCGGATGGTACCAACTATCACCCTGACCAAAAGCTGCTGGACTTAGCTTTGCAGCTCAAGAAGGCCAAAGAGCGCCAAATGCAAGCTTCATTGAAGCCACTTGTATGTCCTTGGGTGCCCACTGTATATTTTTCAGTCTATTTTTGAGAATATATATATATATATATATTTGTAGCACTCTCAAAGTGACAACAATGATTGTGATGCTTGATATCTTGTGTATATCTAAGGTCATCTCGCCGAACGGAGATTGCCGAGAAGCTGGCCCAGGCTTTGCAAAGTGTCAAGGCTCCACAGCCTAGCTCAGCTGATGGTTCCAGTGCGCAAGCTGATGGCCATGTTCTACCACCTTTTGTGCCTTCATTTGAACGTTTGCTTTGAACTCTATTGGTGATTTTAACACCAGGGACAGGGAAGTCCATAAATAGTTTTTGAGAGAGAGAATAAGGGAGGCTTAATGTTGTATGTTTGCATCTCTTTGGCG